TATGAACGTGCTTGTTTTCGCGCACGCAGAAATTACGAATTCAGCAAAATTTGAATGGCGATTCTAGCATAATTTGCTGATTTTCGTTGTTTTTGATTTTAACCACAGCTTTCTGAAACATGATAAAGCGCTCCTAGGTAAGGTGAAAGTATCCCGTCTTGATAAAGGTTGCCGTTGCCGATATTGCCGATGAACGTTTCAGTTTTGATAAGCAGATTTTCAGTCTTATTTTGATGCCTTATTGAATTTAAAGATACGAGCCTTAGCGTCTGTATTTTGAATTTGCTTTTGGAGCTGGACTGTCTCGTTATCGGCCGGCAGGCCAGTTTTTGAGAAGAAATGAAGAAGTCGGGACCGGAACCAGTACCCAAAGTGCCGTTATTTTTGTCATTTGACAGTGCAGTTCGACGTGAATGACCTCAATTAAATCTCTAGTAACTGTCAATATTAGTTTTCACTTATTTAAGCTATAACTTTAGAACTGTTTCCGGTGGTGATTTCATTAATTCTTCTTTAAACGGGCACTGCCGGAACCATCTATTCTGTGACATGAAGTCTTTTATACGATTTAATAGACCCTATTCAGTCTCGGCTCCGGGAGAAGAAAACGGGAATCCCGACCGGAACCAGTACCTTTATCCTGCCATTTCTTCGCAAGAAAACTTGTAAACCCGACATAAAAAATTGTCACAAACATTGTGGATGGTGCTTCTACCTTCCAAAGCCATTTAAACGTTAAAATAGCGTTATTTATCGGAACTGGTTCCGGTCGGGATTCCTGTCTTCTTCACTTTTAGCCGAGAACGAATAGGGTCTATTATTGGCTGAGCGATTAGCGAAGCCTATTACTCCAGTGATGATCAAAGAGTTTCGCGTCTGTCTGTCTGTCTGTCTGTCTGTCTGCGTGTGTGTGTTTGTTTGTCGTCACGATTACTCGAGAACGAATTGGGTATTCCGCTGCAAGCCAACTGGAACCTTAAGAAGAAAAGCATGACTGCTCGATCCGTTTACCTCTGCGCGCTCACTGGCTGATCGCTACAGCCACGCCAACTTTGGCCAATCAGCGTTCAGGACGAAATAGATCGGGTAGTCATGCTTTTCTTCTTTAGATTCCGATTGTGTTGTAGAGGAATACCCTATTGAGCTAGCGGCCTAAGATTTTTAGGGTCGTTTTGTATCATAAAAAGACAGATCGAGTTCGGAGAAGAGCATTCTAGCTAAAAATTGGATTTAAAAAAAATATCAAAAACCGAGGTGGAAATCACTTGCGAAATAGTTCGTACACCCTCCCCCGAAATAGTCCGAAATAAAGGCGAAATAAAGGCGAAATAGAGGCGAAATAGAGCGAAATAAAGACGAAATAGACGCGAAATAGTCGGTGAAATAGTCGCGAAATACCCCTGAAATACTCCGAAATAGCGCGAAATAGACTGAAATTATCCGAAATAGGAGGGAAATAGCCGAAGTGGTAGGAGAAATAACCGAAATGGTAGGAGAAATACCACGAAATAGTCCGTACGCTACGAACCCTAGTGATTTCCCCCTCGCAAAAACCACAGGTCTCACAAATACTGTTTTTTTAATTATTTTTTTTTTTTTTAACAGTTTTCTAAGGCGTAACTCATCAAGTTTGGCTCTATCTTAAACCATTCAGGCGCCACAGGGAGTTTTTAACGAAAATAAGCGAAAAAATGCACAACCCTGCATTCTTAATCGAAATGACGGGAAGTTGACGGGCCAAAGACCCGTATCTTTGTGTACATTTTTGCGCTTGCCAGCGCCGCAGGCCTAGGCAGATGTATGCCAGGCGCGTCGCAGCGTAAGTGTTTCGTGAGATATCGCGAAGCCTGTTACGCGAGACGTGGTCTGGCGTACATCTACCCAGTAGACCTTTGTTCTTTTTCACGTTTTTTTCGTGAGGAAATGCACCATAGCGCAAAAACGGTACAAGATAGAGCAAAACGGATGAAATTTTCGACCATAGGAATCTACTTCCACGAATTACCTCTTAGGGGCCCATAAAATGTTTTTTTAAAGGAAGAAATATTTGCAGCCTGTGGTTTTTGATTTTTTAAAAAGTCAATTTTTGAGCTAGAATGCTCAACTTCGAACTCGATCTGTCTTTTAATGATACAAAACGACCCTGAAATTCCCAGACCGCTCTTTCAATATAGCATTCCGGTAAAGCTGAAAAGCAGAAGAACGCGGGGAAGAAGAAACCGGAAATCGCTATGCTTTGACACGGTGACTTCCGTTTTCTCGTTCCCTGCATTCTTCTGCATTTTAGCTTTACCTGAATGCTTTATTCTTTCACCAGTTATCGTGCGGACAGTCAAACAAACAAACACACACACAAACAGAATGAAACTTTTTCGGTCAGTGGAGTAATGGGCTTCGCTAATCGCTCAGCCAACTATGCACAACCTGAAAAAATGTCCGAAAACCTTTCCAGCATATTGTGTTCCACTATCTGGAAACATAGATTCAATCCTTCTTTCCACTTCCCTTGCAGTCGAAAGAAGCAACGCCCGCTTGAAACTGAGAGGACGAATAAAATATTCCGGGAAAGGTAAAATGCAAAAGAATGCAGCGAAGAAGAAAACAGAAATCGCTTTGCTTTAACATGGTGACTTACGTTTTCTTGTTCCTTGCGTCCACCTGCAGTCAGCTTTACCGGAATGCTTTAACGAGTTCAACTCGGGTCAGGCGACTGACTGCCGTTTACTCACAGTGTCTCCGCCGTCGCCGATGCCGCTCCTGCTGTGTGCTGAGTGGGCGTCGCGCGTGGAACCAGTAGAGCTGACCGTCACCTCGTGCCTGACAGGCTCCTCTGCCTTGGCGGGCCAGTAACACTTTCCTACACCGCCGCTAGGTGGCGCCCACCAGCCAGTGCTGCGTTGGAAGGGGGGAGGGGCAGGGACGTGCTGCCGCTCTGAGCATTCCGGCAAAAGCTGAAATGCAGAATAATGTGAAGACGAAGAAAAAGAAACCGGAAATTAAAATGCTGTAACATGGGGGTTGTCAAGTTAACGCGGATCCGGCGCGGATCCGCATAGGGTACTCCGGGGCTCGGCTCGACCGGAAGGAGAAGAACAAAAATCGTCGGGCGCGGGGAGGAGCGGGGCAGGGTGGGGGCAGTTCCCCGCTCCTCCCCGCGCTCGACCGGTCCGACGATTTTTGTTCTTCTCCTTCCGGTCGAGCCGAGCCCCGGAGTACCCTATTGCGGGCGCATTGCGGAAGCGGGCGGACGGCGCTGCTGGGCATTGGAAAATGAACGTTTTTTTTAGCCTGCCCTTCTGCTTTGAAAAAGCTACAGTGAGGGCTCGCTATAGTTCCGCCCGGCATAGTTCCGCCGGCGCTCCCTCCCCGCCAGGCCTGGTTCCCACTTCGAGCAAGAAGGGGACCCCCTCACTTCCTCCTCCCCACCACCTTCCCCCCGAGCTGCCAGTCGGCCAGCAGTGTAAGCGAGAGCGGTAGAGGGGGGGGGGAGAGACGCTCACTGATTTATCTGTTTCCGTCCGCCCAGTATGAGAAACTACCATGGCAGTTTGGTCCGATCCTAACCTCTCAAATATTGAGGTGAGCTCGAAACTGATCTGACAGTTTCTCATACCTGAAAGGCCTCGGAGGCACGTGATAAGCTCGACCAATCAGAGCCATAACGGAAACAGAAAGGTAAGTGAGTTTGTTCTTTTCCTACTTCCGTTTTAGATTGCCTGGAACACCCTATTCTGAACCTGAGGCGGAACTTTAGCGAGCGCTTACTCTATCCAGCGGGCTCATGCAAACGGCCTCGTGTCTGTTTGTCTGTCTGTTCCACAAGAAGGAGATGTGCTAGAGGAAAGGTCGAAAAAGTTGGAAAAATTGGGCGCTAGAGTGATTTTCTCTCACAAATGTGGCCCAAAAATAAACCTATTAATTTTTGAAAATATTGGATGGTCTCCTAAGGGGTAACTCATCAGAGTAGACCCCTTTTGACGAAGATTTCGTCCGTTTTGCTCTATCTCTAACCGTTTACGAGCTAGAGGGTCTTTTTAGACGAAAATAAGCTAAAAATTGCCATAGTGAACAAAAAGATGTAGAAAAAGGCTTAAAAACCGCAAAATAGAAAGGAAACTCTTCCCCCGCCCCCAAAAAACGTTTTCTAAGCAGAAGGGTGGGTTGTAGTCGTGGTGCTTCACCGTTCATCCCTTTCTCGAGTCTTTGGGGCAAACTCAAAGATGACAGGTTTATGCGGGCCTAAGGCCCGCTACATCAGTCGATCATGTACTTCAGCAAATCGCGAGATAGAAGTGGTCGGGCCGCAGGTCCCACCATCGCCGCCGGCAGGCCAAGCAGGCCCGGCCGCTAATAGGGTGTTCCAGGCTATCTAGAACGGAAGTGAAAAAGAACAAACTCACCGATTAATCTGTTTCCGTCTGCTCAGTATGAGAAATTGCCATGGTAGTTTGG